GAGGGTGAGTCAGTCAGTCTCCTCTGTCTAACTGTCAGTCAGTGAGAGACTGAGAGTGAGAGTGAGAGTGAGAGTGAGAGTGAGAGTGAGTGTGAAAGTGTGTGTGTGAGAGAGAGAGTGAGTGAATGAGTGAGTGAGTGAGGGAGGGAGGGAGGGAGGGAGTGAGTGAGTGAGTGAGTGAGTGAGTGAGTGAGTGAGTGAGTGAGTGAGTGAGTGAGTGAGTGAGTGAGTGAGTGAGTGAGAGAGAAATAAAATATTTTTTTTCTTTTTTCCGTTTCCCTTTTCCTTCTTCTTGTGTATCGCCTCACGTTTTCTTGTTTTTCCATTCCTCCCTTCCCTCCTCCCTCTCCTCCTCCCTCTCCTCCTCCGTTCCCATGAACTAGTCAGATAAACAGACTGATAAGGTGATAACAATTGAGACAGCTAGCGGTGGAAAAGGAGGGGGGGGGGCAAGACGAATGTGAGACTATGCATTTCGGTAAGAGGAAGTAACTGTGTGTGTATGTGTGTGTGTGTGTGTGTGTGTGTGTGTGTGTGTGTGTGTGTGTGTGTGTGTGTGTGTGTGTGTGTGTGTGTGTGTGTGTGTGTGTGTGTATGTGTGTATGTGTGTATGTGTGTGTGTATTTATTTATTTATTTATTTATTTATTTATTTATTGATTGATTGATTTATTTAGACGAAAAAGTGTGCAAGTGTTACATTCGGTGTCTTGGAAATCCTGGACTTTCTTAGAAAACGAGAAGGTAGACAGAGAAAAGAGAATGAACTTCAGCCAGATAATGTAAACACGCAGGAAGGATGTCGGGAGCGGAGAGTTTGGCGTTTGGCCGCTCGACCGGAAAAATCAGTTCGGAATTTTTAAATTTCCTTTTCTCCTTCTTCTTCTTTTTTTCTTTCTTTTTTTTTTTTCTTTTTAGATCCTCGAGCTTTCTCTCTCTCTCTTTCACTCTTTCTCTCTTTCTGCTTTCTCCCGTGATATGCAAGTTCGAGAACACGAGGGAACAAGGCGAAAAAGGTTTAAAAAAAAAAAGTAAATTAAAAGAGAACCAGTTTTCTTCAAGAGGAAAAGCAACGGTTTCGTGTTTCTTACTTTTCCTAAGCTGTCTGGTATTTGTGCTTTTGTTTTATTTGTTGCGGTCTTTCTCTCTCTTTCTATGTCTTCCTTGTTCTCTGTTTGTGTGTTTGTTTTTTTCTTTCTCTCTCTCTTTTTCTCGTTTTTGTCTTCTTACTCTTTCTCTTTCTCTTTCTCTTTCTTTTTTTTCTCTTACTCTGTTTATTTCTCTTTCTCTGGTACTCGGTTCTCGGTCTTTTTTCTCACTGTCTTATTCTTCTTTTATTCACTTTCTCATCCTCACTCTCACTCCCTCTCACTCTCACCCTTACTCACTCTCGCTCTCACTCTCACTCACCCTCACCCTCACCCTCACCCTCACCCTCACCCTCACCCTCACCCTCATCTTCACCCTAATTCTCACTCTCACTCTCGCTCTCATTTACTCTCACCCTCACCCTAATTCTCACTCTCACTCTTACGCTAACGCTAAACCACACTCTCACTCGCACTTAATATTCTTTACACTCAAATTCGATAAGTAAGTTTGATTGATATGTAAAGATATAGATAGCAAGATAGATAGGTAATTAGGGAGGAAAAGCTCTTTTTAATTATATCGCTCATGATGCTTTTTCGCGATGACCATCATTTCATCCACCTTATTTATTTATGATTTTCTCCGTCCACCTCTTTCGTTCCCAGCGCTAACCCCTTTCTTGAAAGGAATTCCTTCGCCCGGGGTCAAGACGAAGCGAAAGTGTCGGGGGAAAGGAGAGAAAGGGGGGAAAGGGGGGAGGGGGAAGAGGGTAGTCGTTAGGGCCAGAGGGAATGGAGAGGGGGGGAGGCTACCCGTTATTCGAGTCCGGAGGATACAAACCCGGATGCCCGGAACCATTCCCGTAACCCGGTTTGGGTATCTGGAGGATGGGGTTGGAGGGGGCGTGGCCGGGAGCGCCGGGGGCTAAGCTGCTCTAGGTGTGTTCTAGGGGGGGGGGGTCTCTGCGAAAACATACGCCAACACAAACATACGTGTGAGTGCGCGCTCACACACACACACACACACACACACACACACACACACACACACACACACACACACACACACACACACACACACACACACACACACACACACACACACACACAGAAAGAGAGAGAGAGACTGAGTGAGTGAGTGGGTGAGTGAGTGAGTGAGTGAGTGAGTGAGTGAGTGAGTGAGTGAGTGAGTGAGTGAGTGAGTGAGTGAGTGAGTGAGTGAGTGAGTGAGTGAGTGAGCGAGTGAGCGAGCGAGCGAGCGAGCAAGCGTGTGTGTGTGTAGAGTGAGAGTGAGAGTGAGAGTGTGAGTGAGAGAGAGTCTCCTGTTTGCGTTCGTGAATCTCTCTTCACGTTGAAATTACCGAGTAAAAGGGGGAAGAAGAAAAGAAAAATATAAACAAGAGGTGGGCT